AAGCATGATTTAACAATCATGTTTACATGATTGTTAAATCATGCTTCTTCCAACTGAGGCGGCTGTCTAAACTGAAGCCCATATTGTCCAAAAAGAACCTGGAGACAGTAATACATGCATTCATTACATCTAGGCTTGATTACTGCAATTCACTCCTGTTTGGTATCAGTCAGACCTCCATTGCACGACTACAACTGGTCCAGAATGCAGCAGCCCGATTTTTAACCAGTACAGGCAAAAGAGAGCATATTATACCAGTTTTGGCCTCACTGCACTGGTTACCGGTTCACCTTCGAATCCAGTTCAAAATACTTCTGTATGTCTACAAATCGCTGAACAGTGTCGCTTGGCTCCGGGGGGGGGACCGATGGAAAAACACAGATCGGTAAAACCCTCCACTCTGGAGATGGAGGCGAAGGTGGAGACAGATGTCTTCAGCTTGCCGGCCCAGCTGCGACCTCATTCCAGTGCGATGTCACAGCTGGACAGCGAGGCAAGATGGGGTCAGGGCGATGAGCCAGGGCAGAGCCAACCTTGCCGCCAGATCATCCGATCAGGGCGGAGGGAGATGAGGGACGGAGTGTCCCTTGTGTTAACATCCTCCTGGATTATGCCGGGCAGCTCCGAGAGGAGGGCGCCGATGGCTGGGAGTGGTGTGGTCGCCGACGTGGGAAGATCCGAGGTGGTTGAGCATCTGCTCGGCCACTGTCTTCTGTCATTATGCTCTCCAGGAGGGAAGGGGCAGCTCCGCATCGCCTTTCTCGGAGGAATCATTTGATTCACTGCGTGACTCTGCGTCAAAGAAGGCGGTGGTGTCGTCCCGCGCATAGCGTCCCGCCACAGAAAAAAAAAAACACTCAGTGGAGCTGCTGCCAACAACACCTTTTTTGAGGGAATCATCTGATTTACCTTGAGAAAAAAAACAAGTTAGAAAAGGTGGTGGCGTCGTCCAGCGGGTAGCGGCCCACCACGGAATAAACATTCAGCGGGCTGCTGCTAACAACAGCTTTTTTCAAGGAAATCATTCGATTACCGCGAGGAAAAAAACACGTTAGAAAAGGCGGTGGCATCGTCCAGCGGGTAGCGGCCCGCCACGGAAAAGCACTCCTCTGCGCTTACCTTGAAAAAGGCTGCTCGTCTGCTTCTCCTCGGGGAGGAAGAGCTCACCAGGATGGTAGGAGGTTGGCGTGGCGGAGACCCAGGCATTCTTAGCAAAGGTTGTGCCGGTCAAAGCTGGACAACTTTTCCTTCTTCATTCTTCTGACAGTGCTAGCTAGCTGGCTGAAGAAAAAACAGGAGCCGATTACCCGGTCTCACCGTAATTTACACGGACCGGGGGTGAGGCCCACACACAGCAGGTGGGTGTGGACTAAAGTTTTTCAGTGCAGCGCTGAGCGCCTAGGGATAAACCCACCAACGACAGTCTTCAAGGACGAAGCCTATACGAAATAGAACAGGCTCTAGTGAAATTTTTAAAGTTGCCTCATTTGACAGGGGACTAGAGATAGTAGAAGGAAGGATGGTCTGAATTTTGTCTCTAATTGAAATAATTT